GATACGATACGATATGATAAGACTTGTTACAATACGCTACAGAAGGACACGATACGATACGATATGATAAGACTTGTTACAATACGCTACAGAAGGACACGATACGATACGATATGATAAGACTTGTTACAATACGCTACAGAAGGACACGATACGATACGATATGATAAGGCACAATGCGTTACAATACGACATGATTTTTACATTACATTACATTTAGCTGACGCTTTTATCCAAAGCGACTTACAATAAGTGCATTCGACCAAGAAGATACAAACTTGTAGAAAACAGAATCATATAAGTACACCTGAGGCCTGTACTACGAAGCTGGTTCAACCTAACCTGGATATGTTTGAGTTAGCCGGTTGGCCCAATCCAAAACATACGCGCTCTGGCTAAACTGTACTACGACGCTGGTTATATAGTAGATCGCTCAAGCCAGCCGTGTCCTATCTAGTTAGTCACATGAAAGGGGTGGTATTTGGAGCATTCGACCAATCACAAACATGGACAAGCGTACTGACAGCGCAGCGTCATACTTCCTGAATGAAAAGTGAACTTTAATATTAGTCAAATATGAAGAAGTTAAACTTTAAACATCCATGACTTAAACACTTTATCCAGGATAAAAGCCACATAGCTGCACCTGCAAGGTGAATACAGCTGGTAAAAGAAAAAGTGTTTGAATGCGTACATTAACAGGTTTATGATATCACTTGACTCGAGTGTTTCGTCAACTTAATGTGTTGCTTAAAATAATACTTCTGCATACAGTATGTGACACTGTGAGTGTTGCACGGCCAGATACGGCTCAGCTGACTCAGATAAGGAAATATATGATACATTATGATGTGATATGAGATGAATGATAATGGGACACATCTACGTCTGCACTCACAGTGCCGCGGACTGTACGTAATGTTACTCTGATCCGGTTACTTATGTTGTGGCAGATATTTAAGTAAGCTTTCTTAACGCTAATATTATAATAGTCAGATTGCTCTGAAGATGGGAGGGGATATTCTATTCATTTTCACGTTCACACAGTCAGTTGATTTTTGCCGGCCGTCTTTCCTGCAACGGCAGTTTTTCTGTATTTCCTCTATCCTGTAATATGACTTGATAGCTTTAAACTCCGCACACGGAGCTCTGATTGGTCAGCAGGCGGTGCTTTCACTGAGTTGATCTCTTAGCCTGCAACCTAACCTGCTCCCGAGGAGGTTAGCCGCTCAGCATAAGTTACCATGGAGATCTAGCCCGCTAAAAAGAGAACCAGCGTCGTAGGACCGGAAAGCCCGAGTTTTCCCTGAAGTCAGCCGGCTAAGAGAAAATCCGGCTTCATAGTACAGGCCTCTGGTTTCATCGAGCCAAAACATTTCAAGTGCTACTCAACTGGCTTTAGATAAGCCAGTCCTTTATTAGTATATAAGTGCTTAGTTAGTATATAAGTGCTTAGTTAGTATATAAGTGCTTAGTAAGTATATAAGTGCTTAGTTAGTATATAAGTGCTTTGTTAGTATATAAGTGCTTAGTAAGTATATAAGTGCTTAGTTAGTATATAAATGCTTAGTTAGTATATAAGTGCTTAGTTAGTATATAAGTGCTTAGTAAGTATATAAGTGCTTAGTTAGTATATAAGTGCTTTGTTAGTATATAAGTGCTTAGTTAGTATATAAGTGCTTAGTTAGTATATAAGTGCTTAGTTAGTATATAAGTGCTTAGTAAGTATATAAGTGCTTAGTTAGTATATAAGTGCTTTGTTAGTATATAAGTGCTTAGTAAGTATATAAGTGCTTAGTTAGTATATAAATGCTTAGTTAGTATATAAGTGCTTAGTAAGTATATAAGTGCTTAGTTAGTATATAAGTGCTTTGTTAGTATATAAGTGCTTAGTAAGTATGTAAGTGCTTAGTTAGTATATAAGTGCTTACAAATCAATGTGATACACCTCATAGGACACAATACGATACGACTCGATAAGACTCGATACAATACGATATGATACAATACGACTCTATATGACACACCTCAAAACAATAGGACACGATACGACTCGATAAGACTTCATGCAATACAATACGATACGATACGTAAATCGTAGGATCTTCTGTCTCCGATTTGATTGTAACCGTTCATATTTACTGTTCAGGACCTTGGGGTCAATGTTAATATGTCGTTATGGAAGGTTGATTCAAAGAGTCTCTCAAGGTTTGACCTACAATCTTTGAGCAGATTGTTGTGGATCCGAAACCACACTCAAGACATAACAAGATATAACAAAATAGAAACACAGACACACTGCTGATTGAAGGAATTATTATATTGTTGTACAACAGTATACGAGCCAGAACACTTGCGTCAAGTCCGCCAAGAGTACATGTTTCTGTCTAAAGAATGACAGAATCTCACAGGTTGTAAACACTTCTTTTCAGTTTACACAACACTATACCTTTGGACCTTTTACAATCACAAGTTTACAAATGACAAGATCCTATGCTTAATGAGATCCTATGATCCTATGTACGCTTGCACCATGTAGTATTGCAAAACTGTACAGAAGAGGAATTGGTGTACTATTCTATTTCAATATTATTTTCAAACAGTATGTCTTTGTAAATAAAAAGGATTGAGCTTATTTCACCGACTACGTCTATGTTTACGGACGGACAAAGAGAACCCTGTCACACTCCCTGAACAACTTAGATGTCGTGGCTGAACCTGTCACTGTGGTCCTGTGTCCTGGATCCTCTATCCTGAGTCCTGGATCCTCTATCCTGTGTCCTGGATCCTCTATCCTGAGTCCTGATCTGAGTCCTGGACTTCGAGTCGTGGCTGAACCTGTCTCTGTGGTCCTGCCTGACTCTCATCATACTACTTCCCTGATGGCTCCCTCAGGATTGTTGACATCTTCGTGGATTCATCTTCTTATTATAGACACATGCATTTCCAAACATTTGGTCTACCTATGTTGTAAATGTATTATCTTTTCAATTTACACACGGCATCTATTGCACGTCTGTCCGTCCTGGGAGAGGGATCCCTCCTCTGTTGCTCTCCCTGAGGTTTCTCCCATGTTCCCCTTTAAACTGAGGGGTTTTTCTCTGGAAGTGTTTCCTTGTACGATGTGAGGGTCTAAGGACAGAGGGGGTCGTATTGTCATACTGATATTCTGTACAAACTGTGAAGTCCACTGAGACAAATGTAACATTTGTGATATTGGGCTACATACATAAACATTGATTGATTGATTGATTGATTGAGATGTCTGTCTCTGAATGTCTTTGGTTTGACAGAGGGTGAAGAAAGATGGCTGCAGAAGGTCGAGTCTGTATTTATAGGAACGCATTGTGACCTCTTTCACTTTTTGACCTGCTGACAATCAAACGAGCAAATACCACTCGTAAATTTACACAATCCACTCAATTATTCCACATTTAGAGACAAGATTAAAGGTGTTATAATCTATTAATAAAGGTGTTTTGTGTGATTGGTGCAGTGTTCAGATGTACTGTACAGATAATAGAGTCTGTCATCTCTGGTATGTTACAGACACCAGCAGCTGTGGACCCTTTAAATAACCCCCACCCCCAAAAGAAACACAGCAGCAACAGCACTGCAATACACATAATGATAATATAGATCTGTACTGTGCTGTTCTTGGTAGATTAATTGTCCTTAAAGTCACACATGGAGGATTTCCTGCCTGTCTGCCAAATGATTTTCATTCATGTTATCTGTTCTGAGCATGGAGCTGAATGAAGCTGCTGCAGAGAGGCCGAAACACCCGGAAACTGAGGGGGTTGGATTTCAGAATAAAAGCAGGGAATAAGCCACTTAAAGAGCAGAGTCTTTTTAACTCTGTGGTTCTCAGCCTGGAGGGTCGGGAGATGGTTTTAAAGAAATTGAATAAAAGAAAAAAGACATATTTTGGAACGACTTAGCTTCATTTTTATAGTTTGTTCTTAGCTGTTTGGCGTGCAGCAATCATGTAACAATGTTTAGACACTTAAAAACAGATGAAGTGCATCTACCAGAAATGCACCATATTATTCTAGCGAGGAGTAAGGTTATATATAATTTCTAATCTCTAAACTCGAGATTAAGACCATGAACTCATCAGGAAAATATGATCTGAGGTAAATGTGAAGGTGTGTCCTTTTGTATAGACTCCAACACAATTGTTACCTTTTATATCCAGAGGTTTCTTATTGATTAACTTTGTTTATATGACAGTAAAGGCTTTGAATTTGAATATATTATATTAGCTTGTTTCATGTTTATTTTATTTCCTTTGCTTTGCTTATTAATGATTGTCTTTATAAGGTGTTTCCGCTGCACTATTTCTTAATGCTCGTAATGTCTCTCAGTTTTTGTAAAGCACTTTGAATTGCTTTGTGTTGAAAGGTGTTGAATAAATTAACTTGCGTTGCTTTTTATCTTCAAACCAAATCTAACGACTGGAACAAATAAAGATTACATTTTCAAGATTCAAGATTCAAAGCTTCATCATCATGTAGCAGCTTCAGTGCAGATATGGAGATGACAAACTGAAGTCCTCCAACAGAGCAATATGAATATATATAGGACATAAAACTAATAAAACAGATAAAATAGGGCAAGAGAATGTTTTGAGATGTGCAAGTTAATACAAATAATATAGAAATAGTGCAAGAAGAGCAATACAAGTACATGGAATATGATATATTAGATAAATAATGTGCAAGATGTAAACAGATGAATGTTAATGGATGTTCTTTACAGAGTTCAGGTGTTTAATATTCTCATGGCTTACATAACCTGAACCTGCACACAACCTGAGTGGAATTATATATATTTTGGTCATTCTCACTTCATTTTGATCTCACACACAGATTGATTTACCCTCACACTGATTTTCACCATGGTTTTACTCTGAAAGTCTGGACCGGAAGTGGTCTCCTCTCCCCCAGGTGTCTTCACACACAGAAGACCCCTCCCTTTCTCCCATTCACTGTGCAGGATTCAGACTGAAAGGTAAAAAGATGTGATTCTCACTGCGACTCTTCCTCTCAGAGCGGATCTCCATCAGGATCCTCTTACTGGGATTTAAACACACAGCTGATGACTGTCTGCAGGTGAGAGTGTGTGTCAGTGTGTGTGAGTGTGTCTGTCTTTGTGTGAGTGTGTTAATGTGTGAGTGTGTGTGCGTGTGTGTGTGTGTGTGTGTGTGTGTGTGTCGCCTGTTGCTCATCTGCCTGTCTGCTGTAATGTCTCCGCTATGCTCGCTGCTGTTCTGCAGGAATGTCCCATGTTTCTGATCTTTAATGCAGATTTTGCAGGATTTGAAACATGTCTTTTCTCATTGTGTGTGTTCATGATGATCCTAATGAATATGTGCTGGGTGTCTGTCAGTTCAGGTGATGCGTGATGTTTTCACAGGGAACGTGAAGCCAGGCGCCATTTAAGAATAACGATTTAATGTTCCTGTGGTTATTAGAGACATGACACAACATGTAAAATAAATAAAAATACGGCTGTCAAATGTTTAAAAGCTATTCTTTAATTCGGCGTATATAGAAGTCACATTCACTTCTTTATTTTGTGTAAAAATGCAACTTTATCGCTGTTCAGCTTTCTGTTTAGTTCCATCTTTTCCCATTAAGACGCACCGCGGAGGGCGGAGGGCCAATGCGAATTAAATATAAAAGTAAAAATCATGTTCCCATAATTAATGCTAGTTGATTATGGTGTGTGCCGACATTTAATCCACTCCCTACAGATTCAGAATCCGAGTTTTATTTTTCTATAAATCCAACTGTTGCTTGTCAGTGAAGAAGGATAAGTTAAAATGGCAAATGTTTAAAAGGAGTTTTGCGTGACGTTCTTTCCATTTGTGAGGCGGATCGGGGGCCAGTCTATCGGACTGGTGTTCCTGATAGCATTAGGTGTGTTTGTGGAGGTTATTGTTCATGTGTGTGCTGCTGTTTGCTCAGAAGCAACAGGCTGTGTTTGCATGTCTGTCATATGAGAGCTGCACATCGAATGCATGCAGCAGGATAATTCATCAGGTGTGTTTAATGCAGAAACAGCTGCAGACCTCAGGGTGTGTTGATTCATATTTGGTGATTCAATACAGCCTGTAATATTCTGAGGGTCGGGGTAAACACATACAGATATGGATGATTGTCTCATTATAATACAGCTAGATCTGAATTGCCCTTTGAGAAACAGCTTGTTTGGTTTTGAATAACCGATTGTGAATCTAAATTAGTATCCAGTGCTTTTGTTTGTCTAAAGGCCAAACAAACACAAATCGTGTTAATTGGTACTCTATGATACAGTGCAATACTGAGATGTTGTGTGGATTATTTGCAGAAGAGGAGGCTTGTTTCTACGGTTATTTTCACTGCCAGATCTCTTGTTTGGCTTTGTAAACTTTCCAAAAATACCACCACAGCTAGCCAATCAGAGCAGACTGGGCCCTGGTTTCAGACAGAGGGTGAAAAGAGGTGCTGCAGCACAGGCAGTATGAGAACAATAAAGAGCTTTTTGAACATTAAAGCATGGAGACATGTCCAAGTAGAGACACTACATACTGATATACACCTGAACATCAGCAGGAGAGGACTCTTTAAAGTAGAGACACTACATACTGATATACACCTGAACATCAGCAGGAGAGGACTCTTTAAAGTAGAGACACTACATACTGATATACACCTGAACATCAGCAGGAGAGGACTCTTTAAAGTAGAGATATTACATACTGATATACACCTGAACATCAGCAGGAGAGGACTCTTTAAAGTAGAGACACTACATACTGATATACACCTGAACATCAGCAGGAGAGGACTCTTTAAAGTAGAGATATTACATACTGATATACACCTGAACATCAGCAGGAGAGGACTCTTTAAAGTAGAGACACTACATACTGATATACACCTGAACATCAGCAGGAGAGGACTCTTTAAAGTAGAGACACTACATACTGATATACACCCGAACATCAGCAGGAGAGGACTGTTTAAAGTAGAGACACTACACACTGATATACTGTACACCTGAACATCAGCAGGAGAGGACTCTTTAAAGTAGAGACACTACATCCTGATATACACCTGAACATCAGCAGGAGAGGACTCTTTAAAGTAGAGACACTACATACTGATATACACCTGAACATCAGCAGGAGAGGACTTTTTAAAGTAGAGACACTACATACTGATATACACCTGAACATCAGCAGGAGAGGACTCTTTAAAGTAGAGACACTACATACTGATATACACCTGAACATCAGCAGGAGAGGACTCTTTAAAGTAGAGACACTACATCCTGATATACACCTGAACATCAGCAGGAGAGGACTCTTTAAAGTAGAGACTCTACATACTGATATACACCTGAACATCAGCAGGAGAGGACTCTTTAAAGTAGAGACACTACATACTGATATACACCTGAACATCAGCAGGAGAGGACTCTTTAAAGTAGAGACACTACATACTGATATACACCTGAACATCAGCAGGAGAGGACTTTTTAAAGTAGAGACACTACATACTGATATACACCTGAACATCAGCAGGAGAGGACTCTTTAAAGTAGAGACTCTACACACTGATATACACCTGAACATCAGCAGGAGAGGACTCTTTAAAGTAGAGACACTACATACTGATATACACCTGAACATCAGCAGGAGAGGACTCTTTAAAGTAGAGACACTACATACTGATATACACCTGAACATCAGCAGGAGAGGACTCTTTAAAGTAGAGACACTACATACTGATATACACCTGAACATCAGCAGGAGAGGACTCTTTAAAGTAGAGACACTACATACTGATATACACCTGAACATCAGCAGGAGAGGACTCTTTAAAGTAGAGACACTACATACTGATATACACCTGAACATCAGCAGGAGAGGACTTTTTAAAGTAGAGACACTACATACTGATATACACCTGAACATCAGCAGGAGAGGACTTTTTAAAGTAGAGACACTACATACTGATATACACCTGAACATCAGCAGGAGAGGACTCTTTAAAGTAGAGACACGACATACTGATATACACCTGAACATCAGCAGGAGAGGACTCTTTAAAGTAGAGACACTACATATACACCTGAACATCAGCAGGAGAGGACTCTTTAAAGTGGAGACACTACATACTGATATACACCTGAACATCAGCAGGAGAGGACTCTTTAAAGTGGAGACACTACATACTGATCTGGAAATGAGACTAATAGGGCCTCTTTAATAACATTCATCTTTTTCCTTCAATTCTGCTAGTTTCTGTAAAACCGTTTACATCCAGTAACAGTGGAGTCACAGATTTCTTCGCCCTTTTAGCTCAAACTCGGCGTGTAATCCCTCGTTCTCACAGGTTATCTGACCTTTCTCTGTGGAAACCTGGAACACCAGCGGAGACTCTTTTTTCTCTGAGGCTTCATACTTTTAATTTGTCCTGCTGCCCAAAACGCCCAGGGCCAGTAAGTGCTCCTCACCACTGGGCTAATAATTATTTGATTGCGACGTCTTCCCTTCTCAGAAAAAGCACAGACGCACTGATTGCAGGCAATTTTCAAAGCAGGTAGTCCTCTTATTTTCCTCAATTTTGTCGCCTTTAAAGGCAGAGCTATGCTTGTCAGTGATTACAGCGAACAGACGACTGCTGGCTATGAAACGGGTTCATATTTTGTTCAAAGAATTGTGAATTATTTCAGTTTCCATGGCTTTCCAATGACATACATGAAGGCTCAGTATTTAATGTCAACATCATGCTTTGTATTCTAAACAGTATGTAATTTGTGCTCTAAACTATCAGTATGTAATTGACTGCCACTATAGGGGGCTCTCAATCAAAACAACAAAACACTGTGTTACAAAATATGACAGAGCAGATATTGGGAGTTTGTTATTTCAGGCAGCTACTAGCCTAGAATTAATACATTTTTCATCATTCACTATCTTTGTACCAGTAGCAGATTTATGTATAGACGTCTCCTCCTCTCTAGAATGTACAGACATAGTGCTTAAAGCTATTCAAACACTAAATATAGGAGATTATCTTTAAAAAACAATGTTTACTTGATGGACACTGGGCGTAGCGGCTACGAGCTAAATGCTAATGTTAGCTCAGCTGGTTTCTCTGTGAAGATTCAGAGTAAAATCCTTCATCTTGGAATTAAAAAACACCAAGATGTAAGCAGTGTGTTGCAAAGATGTGGCTTAAACTGGATACAAACGACATGTATGTCAGCTTTTGGCAAACACAACACAGACAAATGCAACATAGGGGATTCTACTGTGCCATAAAACACACCGTTACCTTGATCAAAATGTCTTTAGGTTTGAAAATCGTTGTAAAGGTTAGGTATAACGCTATTACACAACTCAGTTAAATATATGAAACAGCTCTAGTTGTTGTTAGACATTTAAATCCGAAAATGTTTACATATTATACCTTTTTTTAATGCTGTATTAAAGGCTGTTTTTGGCCACTTGGGGGCAGCAGAACCACGTGTTAAATAAAACTGACATAGTAATACCTTATTTCGTTTTTTTATAGCTTACATGTTGGGGATCAGTTGCCTGCATTTAAATGCAGCAGACACAGGGCAGCATCAACATTCAGAGTATAAACTTATAACTTTATTTTCATCAAATGTTACGTAAAAACCCCAAATTTAAAGAACTACTTCAACACAGAAAATAACGTAGGAAGCTCTTTTCGTTAGTCTTTACACGCTTCTGTTCCAAAGTATGATTTATGAAAGGGTTGCAACTGAAATGTATGCAAACACACACCACTAGAATAACACATTTTCATTTTCATATGTGTATTTTTTTCACATGCAAACTGAAATGATGTACATGGGAATAGCTTGTTACCAAACACGTATATTGCGACACGTCTTAATGCTATAAGTGTTAAATTAGGCACTTAGAGTTGTCAATTTGTGACTGGATCAACAAAGATGCAAACTATTAGATTAGATTTACTTTTATTGATCCCAGATTGTGAATTTCTTCTGTCACAGCAGCGTGTAGACATTGCACATGAATACAAAATGTAATAAAATACAAAATAAAATAACCAGAATCAACATA